AGAATTACAAATTTGGCCAAAATTATCCAAGACCACGAAATTTACATAATTCCAATTTCATTAAATACTTTTCTTTAAAACAATTTCATATTATTTCAGCATTGTCTCAGACTATTGTTTAACATTTCTTTGTAAATTAACTAATTATGAAATTTTAAACAAGATATTTTTATATACAGCTAAAGATTACTATAAATAGATGTGTTGGGTTAGTAAGGCAATTTTTTAAGGATTTGTTTCTTCTTTCAAAAATTAAAGAATCATTTGAATCAAATTACATAACACTAGTTTTAATTTTTAAAAAAAGTTGTTATAATTATATAAATTTATAATATTGAACAATTTTTCATTTTAAAACAATAATTATTATTTTGTTGCAACAAAAATAATATAAAGTTTTTTTTCTTTTGAACGTTTGAATGTGAAATCTAAAATTATTTGTTATTTGTTAATGTATAAATTTAAATAAACAAATCTGATACAAACTTCAATAAATAAATTATAATTGAAAAATCTTCTTAAACTTACTGTATTAAAAAGTTTAATAACAAATATAAATTTAATAAATTTTAATAAAAAAATTGGTATTAGGTGCAAAAATAATTAGCCATAATATCATTTAGATATAGATCTTTATGGATCAGCAAAATTATTATTAATAAAAAAAAAATAATAAAAATTTCATCCGGATTCCGGGTCAAACCGGATATTTTTCATCCGGTTTATAATCTGGATGAAAACTGTGAAAATCCGGATATCCAAAAAAAAAAAATCCAGATCAATCCGGATTGATCCAGATACGGGTCGAGGCACTAATGATTACATTATTTTTACTTATTACAGGAAAATGATTGGCTGAATAAGCCACTTCGTGGCTTATTTTCAGCCAATCATTTACCCTCCATAAGTAAAAATAATGTTATTCACTCTTTTCCATCGGATAATAATATAATAATTTACTATAGTATGATTATTTTCTATATAGGGAAAAGAATGATCAATTTTTATATGATGAGTGAGTGGCCTTTAATTGCAAATATAGTTAGTTAAAAGTATAAACAATGATGAATAATAGTCTAATTTAGTCTATCATGACAACATAAAAGACGACCAATTTTTTTTTTTTTTTTCAATCTGAATATTTTCTTTATCCTTTAACTTTCTTTTTCATAATGGGAATAAACACATGTTTGAAAACTCTCAAAAGTTCAAAAAAAGATTCAAATAATTGCACAAAAAACTCAAAAAATAAAGTTGATAATTCACAAATAACCAAGCGTCGCAAAACAAATAATGTATTACCAAATTCTGCAAATTTTAGTCTTTTTATTGAAGAATCTGGGAAAATATTTTTTTTATCTTTTATTTTTTAGCAATTAGATTTATTTTTAAATTATAATATAAAAATTTGTTAAAATTGAATATTCTTTTTTAAAGAAAATAATCTAAGGCCGGGCAAAATTAATTTTTAGATTCTCGTGACCTGGCCGTGTCAGTTTTACAAAAATTCAGGGATTTTTTTTTATAGTAAAATTTTTTATCACGTGACTTAACATAATAAAATTGCATATACTTTAGTTACATATTATTTTCGTAAATATAAAATCTTATTTTCGTGATACTGGACAGAATTGGTTTATATCAACAAGTTTCCAATATTCCAATTTCTCTAAAGCTTTTATAAGAATGCGAAACTCTTTAATAATTACAGTTTTCCTCCATATATTTCCTATATATCCTGCTTTTCCTTCATCAACTATAGGAGTTAACGAATTTTGATTATCTGCAGTTATAGCTCTTTGATTAATAAAGTATTCAGAAGATTTGTTGCATAAAGCAGCATAGGTTCTTTAAGCCAAGCAAATTTGGGTTTTTCCATCCATGGTAATTCAATGTAATTTATCGGAATTTTATAATAACTTTGTAATTCTTCTGAATTAAATGATCATCTTGATTTTTTGTATCTTTCAGGATGGGCTTGATCAAAAAACCTAGTAAATAAATCCGGAATTTTGTATCTATCATCTAATGTTTTATAAGAACAAATATCAACATATACGTAGATTTTGTTAAATTAGAAACAAATCTTTTTCTAATATTATTATTTGCATTATCTTTTCCTATCCAGCCACCTCCATCTATGCATAGTTGATCCAAAGAATTTTTGCTGGTAATTTAAATTCTGGAAGGTAGTTAAGCATTGAAGCAGATTTCATTAATTCAAATGCATTGATTGTATTCATAGCTGGCTCATTATTAGAGTCATCAAGTAATTTAAATGTTACATATTATCCGCACGGTTTAACAGTTTCCCATGCATCAGTTACTCAGTCCTATTTTTCTATTTCACCCGTTTTTGTAGGACTAAAATATGCAATACAATTTTTTCCCCATAATTCTATCTTTAATTCATTAACTACTACATCATTAAAAAATCTTTTATATTCATATCCTCATCAACAGGAAGCCCCTCCCACTCAAATACTGTTTTAGAACAAAGCAAAACATGTACAATTATTATCGGCATATCGGATTTTATTTAATAAAAAGTGGCAGAAGATAGATTTACATAGATTTAACAATTTTATCTTTGTTTGTGTAATACAAGATATATTTTTGTAATACAAAATATAATACAAAATACATATAAAAAAATTTACATATGAAAAAAAAAAAAAAACTGGGTGACCGTGTCAATTTTAAAATTTTATGTCACGAGAATCTAAAAATTAACTTTGCCCGGCCTAACTTTAATAATTAAAGTAGCTGTAGCAAAGGGTAATGATATTATCGAACCTGAGTCAAATATTGATAATCAACCTGTTGCTACGAATTCCAACTTGAACGTAACTAATAATTTATTGTGTTACATATCTGAAATAAAAAATCAAGATTTTGCTCCATGTTCTCACTTGGCCTTGGCGGCTTCAAAAAATCCCGTAAAAAATTCTGTAAAAAATTCCAATAATAAATTAAAATACACTAATCCTAATATTAGTAAGAAAAATTTAAAAAACCAAAGATCTTCAATCTTGATACTGATGTTGACAATACTTCTGATGATACCCCTGGCAGTATCCCTAACGATTTTCCTAAGGATATTATTCATATTATTGATGATGATACTTCCGATGAGAATTCTCATCACAATTCTCTAGCTTATAAACTAAAATTTGTATTGCATTATTCATCTGATTTAATAAAACAAGAACCTACATCACATTCTTATGAAACAAGTCCAGCAACATTTCAGTCAAATTTGAATAAACCCACTAATTTGAATAAATCCACTAATTTGGATAATTCAATTAACCATGTATGAATATATTTACTGTGTGAGTCATATTTTATATGTTATAATATTAAATTAATTTATTATTTTTTGTAGGCCACACCAGAAATGTTAGCAATACTAGTAAATGAAGCAAAAATAATGTTTTTAAGAGCACGTAATCTCCCACCAGCTGCATACAATACGCTGGTAAAATTAGTGGCGCAAGGGTTTACTGAAACCAGTAAAACAGCATCATTTCTTCTAAATTAAACACTTA